GGGCAGGTGTGGGGTGGGGGCGGGGGTAGGATTGGGGGTGCGGGGAACGTGCTTACCGGTGGTGTTACTGATTGGAGATAAATTTTCACAGTATTGATCCTGGATAGAAGCCGAGATGGGGCCGATCCAGAGGATAAATACCTGTGGAGAGAGAAGGGGGAAGCAAACACTGTTAGGGCGATACCGACCTCGCATGCAGAACTCAGTCCCCGCTCGTGAGCCGGTGCCCGAGCCAAAGCCATCCCTGGTAGAACGCCCCAGAGCCAAAGGAATTGCTCCCTGGATGAATGTGGCCCAGTACATCTAATTCCTAACTCCCTGCCTGCTTCAGCATGGAGCCATTCCCACCTCCAGTCACTGTGCGGGTTGTGACGCTCAGGCTAATTCTGCTTCCTGCAAATTCTGCTCTTGTGATGCTGTTAGAGAAGACTCACTCTGGGAGACGCAGGGCCTGGGCTATCGGAGGGTATGTCTACACTACAAAGTTAGTTCGAACTAACGGACGTTAGTTCGAACTAACTTTAATAGGTGCTACACTAGCGCTCCGCTAGTTCGAATTTGAATCGAACTAGCGGAGCGCTTAGTTCGAACTAGGTAAACCTCATTTTACGAGGACTACTCATTTTACTAGTTCGAACTAGCTAGTTCGAACTAAGGGCTGTGTAGCCCTTTAGTTCGAACTAGTGGGAGGCTAGCCCTCCCCAGGTTTCCCTGGTGGCCACTCTGGCCAACACCAGGGAAACTCTATGCCCCCCTCCCAGCCCCGGACCCCTTAAAGGGGCACGGGCTGGCTACGGTGCCCGTGCCAGGTGCAAGCCAGTAATTATTCCCCAGTCGTTCCTGGGGCTCTAAGTTGAGGTAGCATATCCACATCAAGGGAGCCTGCCTTGGTTTAATTTTGAGCCCTCTCTCTAGTATGGATATGCTATTTTGAAATAGTTATTTTGGGAGTTATTTCGAAATGAGTTTGAAGTAATTTCCTAGGTAGACATACCCTATGAGTGAATATTCTTCAGTATTTTAAAGGATGCTGCTAAATATGTATTAATATAGCGCGCTATAAATTTTGGCTGTGTGCTGCTACTTTGATGAGGGTTGTAGAGAAATGACCAGAAAGAGAGGACAGTGGGATGGGGTGCCTGACTTTGACAGACATTCCACGACTCGGAGACAGCAGCAGCTGGTGTGACACTTTGACTCACTGCAGAAAAACAGCTGTTACAATGAGGAACAGAGACTGAAGGCAGCAGGGAGGTTTTTGTATTGGTCTGTATCACTGTGAGAGGTGAGCTTTTGTGCTGATGACAGTAGTAATCTCCAGCATCATCAATTTCCACCCTGCTGATGGTGAGGGTGTAATCACTTCCTGATCTACTGCCACTGAACCGGGCTGGGACCCCAGAGTGCAAGGTAGTGGCCCTGATTTCTGCTGATACCAGGCTAAGAGCTCTTTGCCTGAACTGCTGTGTGTGAGACTGGAACTGGCTTTGCAATTGATGGTGACTGTATCTCCTGGAGACACTGCCAGGGATTCTGGAGTCTGAGTCATCACAATCTGCCCACTGGAGTCTGGGGATAAAGACAGAATACAAATGAATAAATGTTTAATACACAGTAGGTTTAAGCAAATAAGCTATTTCTTCACAGTCTCCTGTGCACATTCCCTATTTCCAAGAGCTCTCGACTTGGCTGAGACTCCATGGCTGAGGCAGCCATGTCATTGTAATGCTTTTCAGTCATTCATTTAGGACACACTGCAGTCAATGGAAAGACTCCTGTGCACTTGAATGGCCTTTGCATCCAGCCCAAATATCTTACACGTGGTAATACCTTCTTATTCATGCTTAAAGTGAGACAAAGATCTTCAAACATAAGGGATATTAAGACTGTCTTGAGGGATATTAAGAATTTGCTAAAGCGGTGAGGATTTTAAAGAGAAATGAAAGGATATAGGGATTTGCTAGACAGGGTTCCTATATCCTTTCATTTCTCTTTAAATTAGGATCTTACTTATAATCATGCCAGTTCCCTCTTGATCTGGTTCTTACCTTGGATCCATAGCACTAACAGGCAGACGAGGTGAGCCTGTGAGATCATCCTGATGAGTGTGACTGACCAGATGCTGATCAATGCAGTGTAGCAAGCCACACAGAACATTTAAAACTGCTCAGAGCAGCATAGGATGTAAGTTGGATATGCAATATGCAAATTCAGATTAAATCGCATCTGATCCAAAGCACTGAGAAAAAGGGAAGGGATGAGTATTAGGGTAATGACAAGCTCAACGCCACAGGGCCTGTGGCAGCTCCTTCATTTTGTGTTGAGATGGGAGTTCTGATTTTATAGATTATGTCTATGAAGTGGTAGCAGCCAGAAATTATTTATTATGAATTAGTAGTAGTAGTAGTATTTTCTGTGCAAATGTGCAATAAACTTCTTTTGCTCCTCTATGGGGCTGATCCTCATAGATACTAATAATTAAGGAATATTTGGCACTTTTATTCAGTAGTTCTCCTTGTTTTATAGACGGGGAAACTGAGGCACCAAGCAGGGAATCATATTTGCCTAAAGAGCCTTCAGTGAACATACCTTATAGCAGGGGTGGGGAATCTTAGGCCCAGGGGCCAGATGCAGCCCCCAGCTTGCCTGGATCCGGCCCCTGAGGCTCAGGAATCCTCCCACATTGGGGACCCCGCACTGGATCTCCAGCCCCCCCACCACCCATCCAGGGCTGAAGCACATTAAATCTACTAGCCCGGGCCCCCTAGGCACTGGTGTGCAAGGTGAATGTGAGGAGCATCCCTCAGTCAGACGCTTCTCACTTGTGTGCGGCCCCCAAATGATTTTTCTCTGGGTCAGCGGCCCCAGACCCCCAAAAGGATCCCCTCCCTGCATTATAGTTACACTCACTTGAAGCACCCTTTCCATCTCTGAGGTGTATAAGGGGTTCCTAGTGTAAATGAAGATTAGGCGCTCGGGTGGCATATTTCTTTTTAATGTATCAGATTTATTCCATCGCTTCCTGCCCTCCCCAAAAACCAATCTAAGTGTACGTCTAGACTACGGGCTTTTGTCGACAGAAGTTTTGCTGACAGATACTGTCGACAAAGCTTCTATCGACAAAGAGCGTCTAGACTACATCCAGTTCTGTTGACAAAGCAAGCCGCTTTGTCGACATGACAATAGACACAAAGGACAGTGTAGATGCAATAATGTCTTCTGTCGACAGAACTCTGTCTACAAAAGGCGTTATTCCTCGTAAAATGAGGTTTACAGCTGTCAACAAAACTGCTGAGTTCTGTTGGCAGCAGTGTAGACGCAGGTATAGTTTTGTCGACAAAAGTCCACTTTTGACGACAAAACCCTGTAGTCTAGACACACCCTAAGGGTATGGCTAGACTGTGAGGATCTATTGGAAAAAGATACACAAATCATAGAATCATAGAATCATAGAATAATAGGACTGGAAGGGACCTCAAGAGGGCATCGAGTCCAGCCCCCCCCCCCTCCAGGCAGGACCAAGCTCTGTCTACACCATCCCTGACAGATGTCTATCTAACCTGTTCTTAAATATCTCCAGAGAGGCATCGAGTCCAGCCCCCCGCCCTTAAGGCAGGACCAAGCTCTGTCTACACCATCCCTGACAGATGTCTATCTAACCTGTTCTTAAATATCTCCAGAGAGGGAGATTCCACCACCTCCCTTGGCAATTTATTCCAATATTTGACCACCCTGACAGTTAGGAATTTTTTCCTAATGTCCAATCTAAACCTCCCTTGCTGCACTTTAAGCCCATTACTCCTTGTCCTGTCCTCAGTAACCAAGAGGAACAAATTTTCTCCTTCTTCCTTGTGACACCCTTTTAGATATTTGAAAACCGCTATCATGTCCCCTCTTAATCTTCTTTTTTCCAAACTAAACAAGCCCAGTTCATGAAGCCTGGCTTCATAGGTCATGTTCTCTAGACCTTTAATCATTCTTGTCGCTCTTCTCTGTACCCTTTCCAATTTCTCCACATCTTTCTTGAAATGTGGCGCCCAGAACTGGACACAGTACTCCAGCTGAGGCCTAACTAGTGCAGAGTAGAGCGGCAGAATGCATATCTTTTTCTGATACATTTTGCGTATCTTTTTCTGATACTTTTGTCAGAAGAGGCTTTTCCAAAATTGGGCCCATCTAGACTGGGCCATATTTCAGAAAAACCCCTCTTTTGAAAGCCCCTGTGGAATGAGGGATACAGGGGCTTCGGAAAGAGCACGTCTGCTCTTCTGCAAAAAAAAAGCAGAAGAGCAAACACGTTCCCTGGACGTGGCAGAGTTTTTTCGGGATACCTCCCAAAAAAACCCACAGTCTAGCCTTATTCAGTCCTGATTTGGTTGTATTGCCTTTGCGAATGAATTGCAGCTCTGCCACTTTGTAATGTGATTTTGAAGGGCTTTTTGTTTGATGTTTGGTTTTTTGGTTTTTGCAGAAGGATGTCTCTTTTAACTCCATTACCCAACGTCCCGGGCGGTTAAAGTGTCCCCTCAGGTCAGATAAAAATGCCCTGGCATGTGCGAAGGCTCCTGTCATTGGCTGTTCTGCCAGGCCATGAATGGGAAAGGCTTTTGTTACAACCCTAATGTTCTGGCGGACCCTACTTTCTATCACGTCTGGCTTGGGTAAACCTGACATCAATCCTGGGCAACGGAATGCAGCGGCAGATCTGGGACTCGATTAATGAAGAATTAAAGGCGGGTAATGCAATGAATGCAAATCAGCACGGGTTTATGGAAACTAGAGCTGCTCAAACGAACTTGATATCTTTTATGGATGAGATTAGAAGTTTGATTGATAGAGATAACAGCATTGGCATAATAGACTTAGATGTCTGGATGTTGTTTGACATGGGACCACTCGATATTTTGATTAAAAACTAGAATAATATAAAACGAACATGTTCAATGGACTAAAAACAGGCTAAATGCTAGCTCGCAGAATGTTGCTATCAAAGGAGAATCATCTTCAAGTGGATCTGTTTCTAGTGGCATCCCACCGGGGCTGGTTCCTTGCCCTAGGTTATTGAATATTTTTATCAGAGACCTGGAAGTAACCATAAAGTTTGCAGACGACTCAAAAACATGGAGATTGGTAAATATTGA